AGGAATATGAAAGGGCAAAGGAAGTCTTAAAGAAGAGGAAGAAACATGAACCAACCAAAGCAAAAGTGATGAAAGAAGCGAAAGCAACAATCCCTCCATCGGATGTTTTGGAGAAAAGAATCGAGAGCACACTCCGGTACATACTTTTCCAAGATTGTTTGTTCGAACTGGAGGCGCTCTCTTTCACTGGAGCACAGAACAACAATGGAGATAATGAAAACAAAGACTTGGAGCGACTACGAGAAAGGTTGAACTGCTTGGAACTATTGTCCGATACATTTACGTTGACAACTGCTGCAACGTTGCCAATCTGTTGCAGAAAGTGTTTCCTGAAGCAGAGGTGAAGCTCGATTACTACCACTGGATAGTATGGTGGGACCAAATCCTGTAACAACTCGACATTGCCAGAAGCATCTATCTTTCGCCATTTGATGAGACGCTCAAGTTTCGTTGTTGAAGATGCGGAATATGAAAGGGCAAAGGAAGTCTTAAAGAAGAGGAAGAAACATGAACCAACCAAAGCAAAAGTGATGAAAGAAGCGAAAGCAACAATCCCTCCATCGATGTTTTGGAGAAAAGAATCGAGAGCACACTCCGGTACATACTTTTCCAAGATTGTTTGTTCGAACTGGAGGCGCTCTCTTTCACTGGAGCACAGAACAACAATGGAGATAATGAAAACAAGGACGCTCGTCCCAAGCGGTTCATGAAAAGAATGACAAAGGATGTGCGAAAGGTCATCAAAAACCAGATGTCACATGTGAAGAAGGGTTGCTTGTCTGATCCGCCTGCTACTGTTGTTATGATGCATCGTGTTAACCCTGTAACAGGTCATGCAAACAGTGGTCGCTCTACTGGTACTTGTGAAGTTGACAATCGCCAAATCCTTAATGTCTTGAATACACCGTCTGTGGGTATTGCCCGTGCCGCACGAGTTGTGGGTGACCATTACGAGCAATCCAATGACAGGAAAAAGGTAACACGCTTGCTTGAACCAGAAAAGCTAACACATCGCACTGAAAAGCTGTACCTTCTCAATTCCGTTGCGAAATCATGCGGTTTCTTTGATGAAAAGCTCCCCGTGAAAGAAGTCTTTTGTCCAGATGAATTCCCTGTTAAGGAGTACATTGGATTCGAGCACGATCTACCGACCTACTTCAGGAGTGACAGGCAGTGACCAAGATGAGAAGGCGGATATTGCTGAAGCGGAAGACGACATGTTGAACTTCCTAGCAGGTGTTGAATTCGAAGAGGACTACATTCCTTTCGATCCTGAGAAGTTGGAAGGAATGTTGCGCGATCCAAACAATGACGGTGTTGTCTTGGAAGACGCCGACTTAGAGCCACTTCCCTTGGATGCGGACGAGTTGGAAGTAGAAGTCGCCAAGCATCTACCATCCATTAAACCCAAGGAAACAACTATGGAGACTTTCAAGCGTCTTACAATGGAACAACCTTGTGCAATACACGGCTCTTAGCCTTATCGCGACTCGATCCTAGATAGGGTTTGAGTTCGACTCATACTGAGTCTTCGTGAATAGTCATTGAGACAGGGTTCTCATGACCGCTAGTCATACTAGGTCGATGGTGAAACATCGCGCTAGATATTTAGCTGCGTGGAGAGATTCCACGCTACTAGATAATGTAAGACGAATCTTCCACGCGTTCCGTTTTTGGATCGTGGAACGAGTAGGATTACTACACAACCTACTCTATCACTTTACAGTCTCCCGCGGAGTTCAGATCTACGATCCTTGATTGTGGATCTCTCTCGTTGATTAGTTTTTCATAGCTTTCTAATCCTCTCATAACTTTCATTCTCTCAAACTCAAAACACTCGAAAGATCTTAACACTGCTTTAGCGTAGTCATTTTTTTAACAAACACAATAGCTTTCAGCTACCCTCAACCTATTCCTTCACCATGAAGAGGCTCAAGGAAAGCATGCGTTCCGCAACTTCGAGAAACAGTTGCGTGACAAACCCATTCTTCCTCTCGTTGACAATGACGAGAAAACGAGATCGACGATACTCGTGCAACCACTTGAAACTTCGCAACCATGTTGCCAAGCGAATAAGAAGACTCTGACATAAGGACAACTCCTCTATCAATTTCAATCACTTGGATGGAGAAATCTCTATCTGAGGATTAGGCCAGGATGATGACTCAACGGAACCATGTTCCGATTTCTCATACCTAAATGATGAAGATATCTCACTAACTAGTAAAAAGAATTGTTTGCAAACGATAAACACTACGGCAAATTAGATGTTGCCTAGAAGCTGCTCAACTAGATCTCTATGATCTATTTAGATTCGTTAACCTCGTCGTGCCAACCACCTCGTAAACGTCGCAAAGACAAGAGACCCAAACCCACGTCTATGTTAGATTAAAAGGAGAAAAAGGGAAAAACAAAACCCGTTACACTCCGTTGTACTGGATACAGGAGCATCCGGAACTTGATGCTCACCTCATGCTAAAAAAATACGCATGAAGATCTTGGGGCGTCCAAACAATGTGGACTACCCCTGCAGGAGAATAACACCCAGCACGAAGTGCAAAGGTGTATCATATTCCTAATTCCACGAAGTTAGAATTATCGAGTGGATTTACACGTCAACCAAGAGTTGGGGGCGTATACATGATAATAGGTCGAGTTATTCTCTCTGACTTAGGATTCAAGTTCGATTTCACTACCATGTCAGTGGAGTGGGACGCGCATCTATTCCTATGAAAATAGCGACACCAATGAAGAAGAGAACTTCTTCATTCCTGATCCTGCTGCTGTTGATGACAGTGCAGATCGTCTCAAGAAATTCTTGATGCGAAATACTGAACAAGTGACTTAAGGAAGGTTTGCAAAGTCAAGATAGTTAAACAGGAAGAGATGAACAGCTTCATTCCTTCTGACGAAGTACTCTGACTTATATCGATGGTACTTTAGGAAATGGCAGATGGACGACTAAAGTAGAACTTCTCCCTGAAGCTAATCACCGCTAGCCGATATTCCTATTCCACGGGTCCATACCAACACTCTAAGATGGAGGTTGAACGTCTCTGCGAGGCGGAGTACTCAAAAGGTAAACCGTTCCGAGTGGCGGCACCAACTTTTTCATTCCCAAGAAGATGGTATCTGTCAATTCATCTCTGATCCCGGGAACTGAACAAAAGGATTAAGCGGAAGCTTTATCCTATCCCAAAAATCACGGACATGCTCTTGAATCTAGAGGTTAAAGTACGCTACTAGTCTAGACCTGAACATGGGATACTATCACATCGAGCTGTCACTCACCGAAGCAACTCTGATACCATCGTACTCCCGTGGGGAAAGTGCGAGTACCAGAGGTTGCCAATTGGGCCTATGTAATAGTCCCGACATCTTCAAGAGAAGATGGAACACTAATGCACACGACGTAGAATACGTCCTTCATACATTGATGATCTTCTCATCCTAACTAAGGCGATCTGGCAGATCACTTGAAAAGTTGGATGAAGTTCTCCGAAGGCTTCGAGAACCCGGACTAAGATCAATGCACCAAGTCCTTCTCGAAAGAGGAGAACTTGAATACTTAGGTTACTGGATTACTCGAGAAGGATCCAACCTATAACAAAGAAAAAAGACGCGATCCAGAATATGCGCTCTCCTACCAACAAAAAAATCTCGTGGATTCATTGGAACATGAACTACTATCGGAGACATGGGATTAGACGATCACATTACTGGCCCCACTCGCTTCGTTGACTTCACAAACAACGAAGTGGAAAGGGAAGCGAACACGACAAAGCCTTTAACCAGAAAGAGTCATCAGCAAAGAACTTTGCTCGCCTACCCTACTTCTAACGATACATTCGTTATCAAACGGATGCGAGTGATACTCAACTAGGTGCAGTAATTTACCAGAAGGGAAAACCTATCGCGTTCTACAGCAGGAAGCTCAACCCTGCTCAGACACGTAACACCTTACGAGGAACTTCTCAGTATCGAAGAAACTCTAAAAGAGTTCCGTAACATTCTTCTCGGGACAGAAGATCGTTGTGCAAACGGACCACAAGAATCTAAAATGTAAGAACTTCAATACTATTCCGCATCTTCAACAACGAAACTTGAGCGTCTCATCAAATGGCGAAAGATAGATGCTTCTGGCAATGTCGAGTTGTACAGGATTTGGTCCCACCATACTATCCAGTGGTAGTAATCGAGCTTCACCTCTGCTTCAGGAAACACTTTCTGCAACAGATTGGCAACGTTGCAGCAGTTGTCAACGTAAATGTATCGGACAATAGTTCCAAGCAGTTCAACCTTTCCCGTAGTCGCTCCAAGTCTTTTTGCATTCCCTGTGGCCCAAAAGATTCGGTGAATAGATAATACTTGTAGAAGACTGTGCGGCTATCTTCATTTTGGATTATCACATGGCTCTTGTACGGAGCAAACGATTGCCCTCTACCCACATATACAAGGATCTTTGCCGACAGCTTGTAAGACCAATCGATTTTGAGAACCTGAGCTGAAACATTCTGCATCTTGGCTTCTTGCACTTTCTTGCGATATTCATAGTCTTTTGTGGTGATTCGGTCTTGCGATATTCATAGTCTTTCGTGGTGATTCGGTCTATGAGCGACTTGGATGGGCATCGTGCATTGTACTGCTCCTGGTCCAGCAGATCCGAAAATGCTGTGTACGTAGCTTCAGGAGCTTCGTCAGTGTTGTCTGTTTCGTCATTGTTGCATTGGTTTCTTGGATCAATTCCTTTGGCCTCCTCATTCTCAATCTCTTCTGCCACAACCAGAAGGGCATGATTTTCAGCTGACTGTACAGCATTTCCACTTCATCCTTGACACCCTTGTAATACTCCCGTGTGAGTTCTTTCCAGTTTGACAGCACCGATTTGTCTCCACCGTCATAGTCGCGCAACTCCTTTACCGTAGTCACACCAATGCCAATCAGATACTCTAGCTTTGTCCGTCCGAGTCCTCTCAATGGCTGCCCCAGATTGTTACGGTTCGACTTCTTGTCCAGTAGATCTCTCAGCCTGATGTCTGACTTTAGGTGTTCTTCCCTTGATTGCAGCTTCCGCCGCATGCGTTCCATATCGTCCAATGCCATCTTTTGTTTCTTCTGTGTGGACGTAGGTGGGGCAACAAACTTCATGCGTGACTCTATTGTCCTTTGTCCTGAGTTGCCGGGCACTACTTTCTTGGATTCGGGCTTCACCATGTCCGCTTCCACTGCACGGTAGTAAAACATTGCTTCGTCAATGTACCGGTCAGTTATCGCAAGGGCCAGAGAGCAGTGAATCGAAGCGGTGGTCTGATGACCGTGACTGATAATATAGCTGTACAACTCGTCATCCTCCACCAGGCCCTTGGATACATGTTAGTTGAATATGCCAAGGATCCTGTTGCTATCTGGGCAAGAGACTCTTCATTGTACCCGGCGAAGGAAGAGTCGCACCAGTGGCATTGATAGTAGCACGTATCAAGGTACCGGTGCGTTCCAACTCCAAACAAAATCTTGGGAGTGGCAACAAAGTTGTTCAGCACATTTGACACATCCACGCCCTCATTCAACTTGCACTTGGGACAGGAGGGAACATGGTTAGCAATGACATAATGGGGAATCCAACAAGCAATCCCTTTGATGTAAAAAGACTCAGCGAAAATTCGCTTGTTGCTCTGGAGTGACACATTTGGACCAACCGGTGGGCAAACCCTGGTCCAATCTCGTCCACGGAAGAAGCCAACCGGGTTACCTTGAATCTTCTTCCTTGTCTTCTCTATGAACTGCCTCTGGGCTTGACCAAATGGTGGCCCACCGCGGCCTCCGCTGTGCCGCAGTAGGGATGATTGCGACATTGTCACTACTTCCTCTCTTTGTGTCTACTACTGCAATCTAAAGCACCGGTGCTCTATAAAAACCAGCCCTCTGTAGCCAACTACGTACCGCCAGTAGGTTACCTAGAGGCAAATCGTTCAGAATTATCAAAAAAGTCTCTAGTCTTGTGGGTGCAGCTCGGGACTGGTGGTCAAAATGTAATCTCCTCTCTGAGCTGTTGACCGAAAAGATGCCCTCCCTCGTATTTAGGACAACTTAACGGGAAATGACTCGCACTATGGAAATCGGTGTAGGGAGACATAACGATACGGTACTAAATGTGCTAGTTACCAAGTCAGAGGCGATTTCGTATTCACCAATCAAATTAGGGAGAGAAGGAGGATTGAGTGCCGTTTTTCTTCAATGCCTCAAATCTTTTCTTTTCTTTTCTTTTTTCCCCTTCTTGCGCGAAAGCTAAGGGTACCATAACCTTTTGAAGGGAGTCTGGCAAAACTGGAGAAGGCGTGACAACCAAACCTATTCTATTCCTGCACTTCAGAAGCGAGTTGCGCAACAGGTAACGTTTCTTGCCTTGCTCAAGAAAGAAACATTGAAGAGGGACGGGAAATGGTCCGCAACTGTCTATTTTTCATTAAAATCGTATAATTCTTCTTTCAATGTCTATGGTACTGTATCGCAAGAGTGTAAAACTTTTGTACCAACAAGACCAGTTGGCCTGTCTGACAGAGCTATTGGTGTTGTTGCTGCTGGTCCTCCGCCTCCAAACAAACGTCAAAATGTTCCCAAATATGTGCTCTTGCTGTGTAGTTTGTCAGTGCATGCTCATGGGTTCCAGCCCAAAGAGTTTTGATATCTCCAAATCGATGCTTCCAAAACTGGCAGTCATGATGTTTTTCTCCCAATGACTTGGCCTTTTCATGGACTTTGTGGGATTTGATGTAGAGTGATTTTGGTCCGGTGAGCATCTCAGTCAAGTCAGGATGCCTCTTGGTCCAGTTGATGTTATGATTGGAGTCAGTGAAGGCCACAGCACTAATCTTTGACAACAATTTAGCAATTTCAGCATCAGCATTGGCACTCATTTCCTCAGTTTTGGCTGTTGTGGTACCTTCACTTGCCGATGATGCGGGTGTAGCAGGACGGCTGTGAGAGCACGTGTTACTTGTGAAGAACCTGACAATCTGGGCCCCAGCCATGCTATGTGCCAACACATAGATTTCTTCCTCGCCATTGCATGCGCCGTCCTCCAAGAAGAGATATTTCAAACTGTTCTCCACGACATCCATCCCCATTCTATAGCCTAGCGCATTTGGATCCAGAATGATAATGTCCATCCCACGGTCTTGCGCTCCCCGGGTAAAAGGCAGCGCTGTGGCAGCTTCCATGCTGGTTACAAGCAAATGTCGTCGTGAGAAGATTCCAGCTTGGACTTCCCCTTTTCCTGTAATGATCACTAGCGTGTTTTGTTTCTCCTTAGTTTCATGACTGTCAGCTCCAGGTTGTCGTTGTCTCCTTCGTTCCATGTAGGTTCGACTGACCATTGCACCGTATTTACCCTTGTTGCTGTTGTCCCGTTCTCCTACTTGTTCATCAAGAGCAGTAGTATTGGTAGTAGGTATGGTCACCCATTCCAAGTCTGCTTCGGCCAGCATTACTGCTTGTGAATATTCCATACAGAGACGTGCCAGCTCGTCATAAAATTTGCCATCGGGTATGAATTGCAAATGGTTCTCTGGTGTTACCAGTGTCCCACCAGATGGGACATGATGCAATCGCAATGCACAAGAATTCTGTTCCATGACAGCGATGGCTGGTTGAGAAGAAATGGTAGCCAAGGGAAAGCGGGCACTCCTGCGAGCCAACGACGATCGCCGGCTTCCAGGTCGTTGTCTATCATCCATGGTGCCAGAAAAATCTGTGTCAGTGTTGTGTGTAGCCAATGAAAAGAGACTGGCCGCGGAAGTGTTGCGAGACACGACACTGGATGCATATGGAGACGCAGATGTAATGGAACCCGAGCCACCAATACTTGTAAAAGCAACTCCATCATTGAGGGGTACCATGGTAGATGTGAAATCTTCCTGTTCTTTTAAAGGCACCATGAAGGAGGACTCACTCATGGGTCCAGCTTCTGCCTCACAAATGTCAGAATCTTCATCATCAAATTGACCGTACCCATCATCGTCGTCATCATTGTCGCTTTCCTCCATGTAACCCTCTTCTTCGTCATCTGCTTCACTATCTGTCAAATCATCATCATCTTTGTTGTTGTTGGCAGCGATGTTTTCTGGGCAAGTGCATGTCTTTGGGTGATGGACCAACCGGAACTCAAATCCCATTGTATCCAGTCCCTCTTTCCCATGCCAGCTGACAGCTTCCTTGCAAATCGCGTCAACATAGTCAAAATGTTCGTCAGCAGTGTGACAACCAAAAGCAAGCTGTTTGGGGGGATGTCGTTTTGGTGGCAATCTCTCTGGTTCCGGGGGATCAAAGATGTCTTGAAGGGTATTCTTGATGGTCTTCAAAACTGAGGCTCGACTACTCCTCCTGACATTGTTGGCAGAATCGGTAGCTTTGATCCCATCTGCTGTCTTGGTATCTCCTGTCATTGTGCTGCTGCTCTTTGTGGTGGTTGCTGTGTCAGTACTGCTGGTATCAGAACTCTTCTGGCATGACCGGATAGCTTCATCCTTGTCGACTGATTGAACACTCGATATGACATGCACATGCTGTTTTGCCACCACCGAAGGGGCAGGAAAACATGCTCTTTGGTGGACATGCGTGTTTCCCATTCTTGATCTCAGTTCAATGAAAAATGGCTTGACCTCCTGATTGATGGGTTCTCGACGAACTTGGTTGGAGAAAGACGAGAGATGCGAGTTTTTGACCAATGCTAGCTAGCTAGCCAGAACATACGACACCTGCGAAAGAGATGATACCGCAAACCACTGATTTGATTGATTGATTGATGGTTTGATTGATGGCAACCTCCCTTCCCGATAATGATGATGACGATTTGTGCTGATGTGGCTCATTCAAGTCGTTGGCATGGACGCTGCTGACAACACAACAAGCAAATGCATCCGGCGTGATTGCATTGGATTGCCCTTCTCTTGCTCGGTTTGTTGAACCCAGATCGTCATGACGAGACAGTGTCGTGGCAATGGGAAGCCAATCGGAAGTGCCGCTTGTGTCTCGGAAGAATGCAATTTCAGTAATTTCGTCTCCTGGAGACGATTTGCTTTAGGGGTAATGGTACCGATGGGGGCAGAGGTTTGAATTATACCCGGCGCGCATTACTTAGAAGGCCCTGTAGAAGTCTACGTATTCGACTAG